AAAGTCAGCACAAGGTATAAACGTAAATTAAATTTTAATTTAATGTAATTAAAACGAACATAATCATTTCAAGGAACACCGTGTAGGGGTTCGGTAAAATTTCTGTAAGCTATTTTATTTTTATCTTTCTGCATATCGTTTTGTGCTTACTCTTCATCTTAAATGGTACCTAACTTTTTCAAAACAAGATTTCACGGCATCCCATCTCATGCCCTTGCTCATGATTTCCTCGGGAAGGGACAGCGTCTGTGCTTCATGATGTTTGAGCACCTGCAATGCCAGGTGTATCTTGCATGACTATGCTCGCTAGACCCACCTCGCGTTCATGACACTTAATCTTACAGTACTTTTGCTCTCTGTATTAATTATACGAAGTTGGCTACAAGCCACCTGTCGGCTTGCTTTGCTGGGTGTTGATTTTGCTTTGTTCCGCCCTCGATCGATTTAATATTTATGTACACTGTTTTAGAGTTGGGAAATTTATTTTTCTATGCATAATCGACGAAATAAAATAATTTTGCAAAATTGATTGATGTTTTTAAATTCCGACGACCTGCTGTTCGGCATGGTTGAGGAAGACGCGTAGGGATCCGAGAGAGGCGTCGACGCGAAACACCTTTGGCGCGATGGCGAGTGTTTTTTTGCCCCGGACGCCGTTAGGTGAGGTGCAACTGCTTTGATCGAGTGGCGGTAGGATAAACGAGGAATGAGGCAAGAACGACAGCTGACGGACGGCCATCTCACATAAGCGCCGCGAGTTTTACAACCAACTTCTGTCCGGCAACGGTCAGGCGCCGTGGCTATGATTTATATGCCAGAGCAGGCGAACCAGTGCTCGCCCCGTCCCGACGCTGCCCCGTGCCAGGCTTCTGATATATGCGACGCATTCAAGCCCTCAAACAGACCTTCGTTCGGAGATGGACAACGTAAGCGAACGAACAACTACTGCGTCCCCTGCCACAACAATTTAAACTTTAAAGAGCAGCAGTCGTCAGGCGTTCGTCGATGTTGTGCTCTGCCTGTTGGTGTGCGCTTCACGGCGGCGCCACTGTTAACTCGAGTTACTACGAGGTGACAAAAAATGAACATGAGGCCGTTGAACGTGTCGTAGCAGGCTCGCTAGCGTACTAACGCATTTTATGATCGCGTTGTAAAGACGGCGTCGAACTTGGCCATTCGCAATGGACAGGAAGACGCGTGTCGCATGGACGACCGTCAGTCCGACACCCTGGACCTTAGTTGGCGTACTGTTCTGAGTTTCCCATCGACAGTTTGTCGTTCAAGTATCTTTCTGAATATGT